AATATAATTATATATAAATCATTTTTTCTTGGGTTTATAAGAAAAAAGATTAATAATCTAACAATAAGATAAAAATTTTACTTAGCATATAAGAAGTAATTATTATTATCAATTTATAATGTCAAAATAATTTACATTTTGATTATGATATCACTCAACTTCCTCATCCAAAGGATCATCTCGCGGCAGGGGCTGAAATTTGTTTCTTTGCCGACAGACTACTATTATACCCCCACAATAGCAGATTGAAGTCAAGAAAATTATAAATCCCAAATAGCCCAAATGCCGAAAAAAAACTATAAAAAATAAACGAATAAATTTATACATTTATAAAAAAATTGACATACTTGTGATGTACTAATCATTTTACAATTAACTATAATTTAATAATAAAATTTTTATTTTTGTTACTATATTTTATGTGTTCTATTATATTTTCATTGTGCAAGTTTTAACTGACCTTGTGTCAAAAGCCGAGTTTTAGATACAACGATGATCTTCATGCGCATCATATTAATATTATTCACGTAGCAAGTATAATTACCTTGTTCTTGTTGGGACACATCTGTCGAGAAAAAATATATAGTTTAGAAATTTTTACATAGAAACTAAAATTCTTGTCATACGTTTGAATAAATAAATGAATATATTTCTGTGTTTGTATAAAACTTAAAAAATCAATATACGTATACTTTTAAATTACCTTTTAAATAGAGAGTTGAGAAAGTATCTACCATCACTCGGGCTTCTCTATCTTTTTGACGAAATGACTGAGCCGTTCCCTTCTTCAAAGTAAGCGCGTCCTTTTTCCAAATTACTTGCGTTTCTATAGTCGATCTACATTCAAAATATATCATCTGTTTCCAATTTTTGTGTTTAATTATATGAAATATTCTATTAGGTGCGAAAGGATTGACTGAATTTAATAAAAAAGATACGCTCGAGAAATCTTTTGGCAAATTACTCCGGACAAGTTACGGTGAGATGTGCGCCTTCGGCGAGAACATATCGTTTAGCGTAACGAAACATTTCGCCTTTTTTCTTTTTTTTTACGCGACATCTTTTGCAAGTTTCTGTTAAAATAAATTCTGGCAAATATCGTACGATGCGACTGATACTGGGAAATTCACTTTGAAGCAGGGCAGATCTAAGAATGTACAGCGTTTTTTAAATTCATTATGTTATCGTATAAAAAATTCCTATTAGAAATTTGAAATTATAGACATTTACTTGCAAGGTAGCATTGGAGATCCTCGGAAAAAATGTATAATGACTGAATCATTTTTCTCTATCATCGTCTAAAAATAGATATCAATAAAGTAATTAATAAAATAGTGATAAAAGATATAAAATCGTTAATGTTTGATTATGTAAAGATTAAAAATACACATAGCACTCACCGAATTTATAATGCGCTTTAATCTACAGTAGCCCCTGCTGGTTTTAATACCGCGATTATTTATACATTGTTTGCATGGACTCCAGGGACCCCATTCGGATATTACCTGAAGGATTACTTCTTCACGAATTTCCGCTAAGTCAGTCATTCTCGAGACCTGCCAGAAGATTCCTTTCTTTGAAATCACGTTAAAAAATTGTTAATCTTATCGTGACACGTTATGATTCCTAAAAAAATTACTAATAAAATGATTCTCTGTCCATTCATTGTTTAAATAAAAAGGACATAATGTATATTTTGTAATCTTTTTTATCAACTAAGAATTTGTTAACTTACTGCAAATTTCGTATTGACAGGCCATAAATATATTTCTTGATACTTTCCCCATTCTGTTAGGTTTCCCTTTTCTAAAAATTCTCCGCCAATATCCTTGAGAAGTGCTAGCCAACAAAATACTAAATACTAATTTTAATAGAAGAACTCAGAACTATTTATTAATATAAATATTGATGAAATATGGATACAATAAATATCAGAAAAATTATAATAAAGGCGGAATAATTAAAGTTAATATTTTAAAAGTTAATTGTAATAAGAAAAATATCCACATAATTAATAAAAAAATTTTATTAAGAATTTGTCGTTAAAAATAAAGCTAAGCTTTGAAATATGCTTTCAACATAGTGTAATATTATATTACAACAAAATCAAATTATACTGCCATGTTATTTTACGTTCGATCCTATAATTATATTTTTTTTCTTCCTCTTGTCCTTCTTTGCCATGGCATCGATAAATGCCGGCGTCAATGACTGTGAAGTTTTTTACAACTAGAGAAAGATCCGGCATTGTATAGATTCTACTGTACGAAATGTTATTATCCATTTCCAACTCGACTTCCTTTTCAGGGTTTTCTCGATAACGATCTTGATAATACCAAATTTTTGGTTGAGGTTCCTCATAATCATTGCTTCTGCGAAAATTTAGATCCCAATATTCCCAATAATTTCAAATTCAATCAAAAAATTTATCTTTTAGGAAAACATATTTCTCATATTTCGAAAAAGTATCATAATAATTAACTAAATTAATTATAGAACATTTTAATTTAAATTAGGTGACTAAACTTCATTAATTTAATAGACACTGAATTCAATTGATAGAAGTGCTTAAAGTACAATTCATTGTTATTAATTTAATTTTTCTTCCCTTATATACGTGTATATTATTTGATCATCAATTAAATGAGAGTTTGATCAAAATCGCTCTTAAACTTGTTTAATCCTCCGTCTGCAATCATATTTTTAATTTTTTCGTCTGCAATATGGATTTTCTTTGTTCTGCTCAAATTTTTTGTTCTAGACTTTCAAAGAATACGAAAAAATTAAGAGTTACTTGTCAATATCTCTAGTACATCACCAAATAGATTTTTAGCTCAAATAAAATTTATATTTAATAAAAATTGAAATTTGAGCAAAATGAAGAAAAACGGAATTTGTTTAAAAATATGTAGCAATATTAACAATAAGAGAACTGGGATTCCACGTTCCTTTATTTCGAAGATTTTAAGAGAAATTTTTGAGAGCGAAATTTCGCTTGTGCCAAAAATCCAGATAGTAGACGGAAGGTTAATTTAAGTAATAAAGAAAGGTATCGCTTTTTTATGGACACATTACTTTATTTATTCTAATGTGTATCTGAACAATTCTTACCAAAAGCGACATGCTAGTATAATATTCATATTATTTTCAGCAGCGATGAGCAAATATTCGTCATTCTCCTCAGACGTAATCAATCTGTCTTTATCTCTGCAGTACTTTTTAACATTTACAAGCGTACCATCAATAGCCACGCAGTTTCTACTTGTTAAAGACACAATAATGATCCAAACGACGTACATAGCCGTTTTGAAAAATTCAAGAAAATTAAAGTACAAACGAAAAAACGCCTATTGAAGCGTAATACTTGAAGTAAGCGGCGAAAACTGCGCATGCCCATGCATGCAGCTGCACTTTTCATCTCTTTTTCTTCTCTCTCCAATGAATAATTTATACATATTTCATAGTAAGTGCAGAAGGTGTAATTTGCAAAATTATTTTTAATAATGAACATTTTATTGTATAAATAATTCCGTTCTTTGTAGCTGAAATGCAATTTCAATTAATAAAGCATGTATATACATAATTGGACATTGAAAACAAAAAAGAAGACAAAAAGAGAAAATGGATGCAAACTAATTATAGTTAAACTTTTTATGTTTTGCACTTATTTTCTCTTTTTTCTCCTTTTCTTTTCAAATTTCTAATTATGCAAATTCTTTATTTAATTTCTTAATTGAAATTGCATCTTAATGCAGCTACAAAGAATTACGGAATTACTTATACATTCAGATGTTTATTAATAGAAGTAGAAGATTGTACAAGGTGTACTAATTTAAGTGATACTTTAAACAAAGAAAAAGAGTAACCACAAAGTTCAAATTTTTAACTAGAGCTCCTCGCGCAAACTTAATAAAAATCGTATTAAAAAACGAAGAGGTTAACTTATTTTCGCCGCTAAAGTCTGCCGCTTAATTATACGTTATCCAAAATAAAAAGACTTGTATATAATTATTTATTTATTCGAGAAATGAATCCTTCATGATCGGAACATCTCGAGAGGAAGCGACGCATAGTTGCTAATCGCCGCGCAGAATATTTTGGAGCTCGACAATTTACCGCATTCGCGGATTTTTACGTATCTTACCGACCCCGTGTCGTACGACTTCCGGGACGGCGCCAATCGCCAACCAGGTCCGGCTACACGAGATGGCGGACCGATGAACCCGATAGAGTCGGAAGTACGTACCCATGATGCATCACTGATTGTCAACATGGCGGACGTGATTGAAAGTGAGTAAACTTTGCGTTTATTTTCGGGGAAATTAATGGGACAAGCGTCCGCGGGCGATCACGGCGATCGACGCCCGCGGAATCCGCATTCCCGATTTAGCGGTTCGGCGGATCGCGCCGCTGCCAGCGCTTCCGTGCCGTTCGCAATCTCCGTTCGAACGGCGATTGGGTGCGGATCGGGTTTAAAATTTCAAAAATCGCCAACACACGATTCAAGCGGGATTCCGCTGTGAATTTCGCGTTCGGCGTTACCCCGTGGTTGAGTCCGACGGCGGAGTGCCTGTATGTCGCGCCGATCTGCAGCGTTGACCTGCGGCGACAGCCACCACGAGTCCAACCGCTCGCGCGGACTGTTTATCAAACATCTCCTCCTGAGTTTGGTTATGTCGTCTCTGCTGTGCTGGAGCACGGTCGATATTCTCTCGCGAATTTGTCGTACCGCCAATTTGACGCTCTCGGAATTTTACCTTCGGACCGAGAGAATAGTTATATTTCCTTGTTGCCCGTAATTGGATTCTTGCTTTTATATTTTATCGCAAATACATTGACTATTGTCATGCAGTCTCAGCTTAGGTATATGCGTTTTTTTTTAATTTCTCAATTTTGTTTTTTGGCATAATATTAATTTGTATGACTTTTAGATATAATGTTGCTGATCTTTATCGTAATACAATAATATGTAATTATTGAAACAATTCTTACTTAATAACTTTGTAGATTATTAGGCTACATGGATTTTATATCAGAAGAAATTATTTTTCCATTTAATATCGCATGTGCATGTAGTGATTTTGAACAAATTTGTTCAGGTGAATCTGCGGAAGCATTGCTATCCATAAAAAATGGTGGATATCCATCCATTGATGAAATCAAGACTGAGATTGAAGATGATACAATGGATATGGATGAGCAGCATAATTTGAATCACTCGGATCAGCAAATGGATACAGAAGAGTCAGAACCGATACCAGAGCTAGGACCTGCAGCTTTAGGTCTGCAAAGGGTAGGCACTCAGCCACCTTCCAAACCCAATCCACCTACACAACCGGTACAGGTATTGAATCGTAGAGGGATGCCAGCGAGAATTAGGAAAAAGAACAAATTGTTCTATGATGACATTTTGATCAATCATCCACATCACAGGTGAATTATTCTTTTCATAATTAAAAATAAAAATTATGATTAATTAGACAGGCAGTAAAATGATAATTGCAGCGCTAAACTTCTTTAAAGTCAGGAATTTTAATTTTCCAAGAAACTTTGTAAAATTTCCTGATTTTTTCTTGATTTTCTTGACTGTTTTCAATTTCCCTGTTTTCCTTCTTTCCAATTTTGATATAGTGAATTAAATAGATATAGTGAATGAAATAGTGAATTAAACTGAATTAAATGATTTTTTTTCCAAATTCATTGATGTATAATAATGATGTTTATAGAATCAAGAAGGATCCTTCAGCTATAGATGCAAAACAATCCCCCAAAAAGATGATGCGGCCATCACCAGTGAAGAGGCAGACTAAGATGTCAACCACACCAAAAAGTACAAGTTCATCTTCGCAATCGCAACCAACAACTCCTGTAATGACTCCAATCAAGCAAGAGAAGGAGCCTGATAAACTGTCACAACTTACATCGCCGGATCGTAAAATAGGACAGAAAATTGGCATGAGATTAAGAAACTTGTTAAAGCTACCGAAGGCACATAAATGGGTGTGTTATGAGTGGTTTTACAGCAATATAGATAAGTATGTATAAATATAATTACTGTATTTCTATTTTATCTATATTTATCTATACTTTTTAATATTATTTTATTAGTAATATTAATGAAATAATACAAAAAATATAGATTTTTATAATGATATCAGAGATATAAATTAGTTTTCCTAGTATTCCATATAATGTTTTTTCTTGCAGGGTGTTATTTGAGGGCGATAATGACTTCATGATATGTTTGAAAGAATCGTTTCCACAATTGAAAAGTCGCAAACTTACGCGCGTGGAATGGTGCAAGATTAGAAGGATGATGGGCAAACCGCGAAGATGTTCGCAGTCGTTCTTCGAGGAAGAGAGACGTGAATTAGAGAGGAAGAGGCAGAAAATACGAATGTTACAGCAGAGGAAGACAGCAGATATAAGCAGTTTCAAGGATCTACCATCTGAAATACCATTGCAATTAGTAATCGGTACGAAAGTGACAGCAAGATTAAGGAAACCGCAGGATGGTTTATTCACTGGAAGCATCGACGCTGTTGATACCAGTAATAATACTTACAGAATTACGTTTGAGAGAGCTGGACTTGGGACGCATAGTGTCCCTGATTACGAAGTTTTGGTACGTTTCTTGTTCTCTGCAAGGAAAATGTGTACGTTTATATTAATATACGATTTGTTTTAACTAGTCGAATGAACCACCGGAGACAATCAGTTTGACATCATTCTCCCAGAAGTTCAGACCACGACCTTTGCAATATGCACCTTCATCACCATACATGATGAAGTTATCTCCGCGATTGACCAATGACCCTTTAATATCGAATGCATCCGTCTCCATTCCAAAAAAGACGAATACCGGTGGTACAGTGAATGGCTTTCCACTCAAATTACTTGAACTTATGGTCAAAGTAAATAAGATATTAACAACCAAAAAGAATAAAGTCAAGAAATTGAAAGAAATGAACGGAGAAGCTGAGAAGAGACGTTCTTTAGGCGAATCGCTTCCTCCCGATTTTGAAAAAAAATATGCAGGGTATAGCTAGTTAAATACATAAAGAA